ACCGATGCTAGGGCTAACAGGACTGCGGTCTTAAGCAAAAGTGGCTTTAAGTCAGCCGACTGAAGCAGCTTGAAAGGGGGTCCCTTAAGCACTCTGAGGACCGTAGATACGTAGGTCCCAGGCAGGGATAGAGGGAGGTCAAGGCGGATTAAGCCTCCTGGCCCCTTTGAGGAAGCATGCAATCGCTTTTTCCCAAAGATTGGCCAGCCACCGGAGCGTGGAAAACTGCTATGGTCGTCACATACACTGAGCGTGGAGGGGGTCTGGCCCACGTCTAGCAGCTCTTTTAGAAAAGAAAGTACCAGTGGTACTTCACATGAATATGGTTCCAGGTTCCGAGCTGAGCACCAGCCGGTGAACACTGACCACTTGAGGACGTAGAGACGTCTTGTGAACGGAGTTCTTGCATCAGAAATAGTATTTAGGACTCTCTCAGAGATGTCCTTGGATACCTATTGAGGGGCCATACATTGAGGGCCCACAAATCGGGTACATGCGCTGCTCTGAGTGAGCACAGGTCAGTCTGAGCCCATGTAAGTAGCTGTTTGACCTTGGTGTACAGGTTGTGTGACCTGAGACCGCCCTGGAAATTTATATATGACACCACCACCATGTTGTCCATCCGAAATAAAATGTGGTAAACTGCCATATATGTGAGGAAGGTTTTTTGGGCTAGAAAAACTGCTCTTGTTGCGATACAGTTGATATGTAGGCACTTCTCCGAGCTTGACCAGAGCCGGAGGCAGGCCTGCCCTCGTACAGAGCCACCCAACCTAAGTTGGACCCGTCTGTTGAAATTACCTTCTTGACACCAGAACCATGCTCACACCAGACTGGTACCAGATGGTGTCCTTCTTACCAGGGCTTTGACACAGCCATGGTTTACCCTTATACGTAGACAGCTGTGCCTCCACGCATGAGAAGGGAAATGAGGTTTGAGTCAGTGCTGAAGAGGGCGCTTGTGCAGTAGGCCTTGGAGTACTGACGACGCAGAGGCCATAAGGCCCAATTTCCTTTGGGCCCGCTTTGGACAAAGCAGCTAGGTGTTGAATGGAGAGAGCGTGTTCTGGCGTGAGCCAAGCTCTCATTTGAACGGAGACGATAATTGTTCTCAGGAACGTTATTCGCTGGCTGGGAGTCAGCACGCCACACTCTAGGAAAAAGTTTATCCTGAGCCCAGGGCATTCTAGATGGCCGAGGAGCCAGGTCTTGTGAGTTCGTAACTTCGCCTCTGAATGGGCCAGGATGAGCCAGCCGTTGAAGTAACTCAGAATGTGTATTACCCGCTGTCTCAGGGGGGAGAGAGACCTATCCATGCATTTTGTAAACGTACGGAATGCCAGAGACAGTCCGAATGGCAGGACTGTGTATTGATATGCCTGCCCTTCAAAGGCGAATCTTAAGAATGGCCTGTGATGGGAGGCAATTTGGATGTGAAAGTAAGCATCTTTGAGATGCACTGAGAAAAAACAATCCCTCGAGCGAATTAATGCAATGGTTTGTTTGGTAGTCAGCATTCCAAACTGCCGTTTAATGAGGGCTTTGTTCAGATGTTTGAGATCTAAAATAGGCCTGAGGCTGCCTTTTTCCTTTTTCGGAACGAGGAAGTAACGGCTGTAAAAGCCTGACTTGGTCAGTGCTCAGGCAACAGCTCTTTTTGCAATTAGTTTTGATACTTCGGTGCTGAGGACGTGAGCCACGTTGCACTTTACCGATTTATCGACCACGGCGTGATAACGTGGGGGTCTGCAAGCGAGTAACCTCGTTGTATTGTGTTTAATAACCATTTTAACATATCTGGAGTAGCTTGCCTTGGCCCGATAGACTAGGGGTTGAATGAAATTCAAGGGACGGGTCGCCATGTAACGTCATGTTTGGAAGAGAAAATTTGCTCATTTTGTGCTCTGTGGGTCGCTGTTAAGACAGCACTTGTTTGCTGGGGTGCGTAGATCATTGACTGCAGTTAACAGATCTCCAACCGCTTGAACTGAAAAGGGAGTTGGAAGAAGCATGCTAATTTACTTTAGGGGCGGTCCGGCCACAGCAAGACCTGGCCTCTTTCTCTTCCTTGCTTGAGATAGGAAAGCTTCCAAGGCTCCAGGTCTAGCCTGGGCTTAGGCCAGGGACCCTGGTGCTTCGGCAAAGGGAACCGCTTGGCCTGCAGCCAAGCTGGTGCTCTTCGGGAGGAAGTGTCTCATGACCTGCAAAGACTTCTGCACCCCAGTGAAGCGTTTGACGGAGGGGCCGGAGTGACCTGCGGAGGAACCCGGGGAATGCAGGAAAGCAGCTCTGTCTGCATCCTTGATATCCATCAGGTTTTGCCACACACATATATAAATTGCACACACACACATACATATATATATATATATATATATATATATACACACACACACACACACACGTATATTATAACTATTATTTCCTATAGAACTATTCGTTTACCATCACAGAAGTTCTGCTCCAAATAGTCCATGATTTGAGTGGGGTCACAGATGACACTGTCATTATGAACCAGCACAGGAACCTCACCAGTGGGGTTCAGATGCATAAACCAGGGCTCATTGTGTTCACTCAGAGGAAGACTCACATCATACTCCTCACACTGAAGACCTTTCTCAGCTATTGCCAGTCTCACCTATGAAAGAAACATTGTGTTCATTTTTTTGGACGTTTCTTAATAATTTTATACCATAGAAAAACTGAAACATCATTACTCCAACTCTCATTTTGTTGAAGAAAACAACAGCAGCCCAGCTAACAATTTTTTTTTTATGTTTTAAAGACGTTTCTTTCTTGGTTATTTGAACGTTAAGGGAACATTTTATTTGATGATGACTTTAGGAGAACCTTGCCAGAACATTAGCCAAAGTTCTGAGATAGTCTTGTAATATATTTGTAATTCAGGTGTAAATATCTATAACATATTAATTTAATATCTATCAGTAATTATTACAGTATAATTAGACACAGCCTTCACACTTGCACCATGCATCCTTAATAATGTATAATTTATGAATAATTAACATACATGCGGTCAGTCAGCAATTGAGACATTATTCCTTATGAATAGGGGAATAATCCAAACAATGCCAGATCTTTAAAAGTATGTGAATATCACAATCAAAACAACAGACTGCATCCACCCTGATGCTCTTGAGCTGTCTACGCCAGTAATGTTGAATTATTGGATCGCTTACCTTCTGAGAACTGAATGACTGAGTCCAGTGGTACAATATCAGTTTGGACTCTTTGTTTTTTGAGCTCTCGACAACCTCACAACTGTCCCCTGCATCCTTCTTAATAAGGATTTCATTTTCATCATGAGATTCGCCAGTGTTTTCCACCGCCATTTTATCAGTCGATGGCTGTGTCTCAAGACCTAGTTGACTACGACGGTTAACCATCCTATGCGCTTGCAGCATCTTTGAGCATATTAGCCTCTTGCAGCGCCATCACAGGCGCGTACCATAGACAGGGCGCGTCCTACCGAGATAATATGATGATGCCCACAAATGCTGTCTGGGGAGGCAACTCACTAGGTTTTAAGACACAGTCAGTGTGTGAACAGCGCAGCCTCAAGTGGTGGTACCCAACTTCTTAAAGGACACTAATTCACATTCACAATAATAAAATAGGCACACAAAAAAAAATAATAAAACAAAATAATGCAAATTATTGCATTTCATGCTCTCAGATAAAATTAGTCAACTGTTTTATTTAGCAGTAAATATTTATAATAGGCTAGGCTTATAATAATTTACATCATGGTTGGAAGTATAAATCAGAAGCGCACATTTTAAATCAACCAGCAGATATCGCTGTAGACTGCTCTTCTCAATCTAATTACATTTCATTATTACAAAACTGTTGAGAATGTATTCTTATAATTTATGATATACAGTTTAATAGGCAAGAAATGTCATCTGTTTCGCGCAATAAAAAGAGACTTTCCCATGTTTCATAACAGGCTAATGTTTGACAAATTAAAATGAGAACAAAATATTTTAAGAAACATGATGTCTTGTTGTACCTCGTAACATTTTGTAGAGTTTTAGTTCATTTAGACAATTGCAATTTATTTGAAAGAATTTTGAATCATCTTTGGAAATATGCTAATGCCCCCTAGTGGTTTTGGGGCTAAATTTCAGTCAATTTTTAAGTAGCCTTACAATCTACAGTATGTAAGTCATTTAAATTTAAATCACATTAAACTGACTTAAGAATTAGTTGAAACTTTTATAACTTATATAAAAGAGTTGGAAATTGCTTTACTTATTTTGATGAGTTAAAGCAATGTAAAACATATGTTGTAAAAACGAATTGAGTTTCAGTGTAAATTATGCTATTTTATGAAACCAATGGCATGCACAGGAGAGGAATTTCCACCATCTGAACCTTTTAAAGCCACGATAAATATATACATTATTTCCAACATTAGCTGCCAGAGAAAGAAAAAGAAAGAAAGAAAATACTTTTTTTCTTTCTTTCTGTTTTTAGATTGTTCCAGAAGTATAATTGAAAGTCATTAAAAGCCAATGTATTTGACATTGTATTTGACATTTTCCTAAATTAAATAATTGCAAACTGCATTGTTCTTCACATTCTTCTAAAATGTCATTCTGAAAATATAAAAAGCAATTACACAAATGTCTTTAATAGACACCCGTTTTCTCTTATAAGTTTCTAAATAGTTTTGAGTAAATTCAAATACAAAATTGCTTTTTCATTACACAAAACAAAAAATAAATAAATAAAAAGTTCAGCTCAAATCTTCCTAAAATAGGCCTATGTTTAGCTGGTGAATTCTCGGTAGTCTATTGTAAGATAATTCTTTAAATTAGTTATGGATACATTTCATTCATTCATTTTAATTACAGAAAATAAAAAAATAAACAGACAGCATTTCTTAAAGCCTGTGAACCTACGCGTCAGTGAGCGTGGCCGCGATGATGACGCATGAGGATTGACAGCGTCTCTCTCAGCTGAGCTGAAGCGCGCGCGGGCTCGTTGTGTGTGCTCTGCTCTCTCTGCTCTGCGCAGCGCCTGCGAGCGGGAGGGAGTCGGCGGTTCCAGCGTGTGCGGCTTCGGTAAAGATGCACTAAACCTGCCTCCTCATTCATACTCTCACAACACAAACAAAAACCCCAACCAACAACATCTCCATTGTGATTCATTCTCCTAAGTTTCATCGTTGCTGTTGAACTCGGCTGTGGAAAAAAAAAGGTTTAATGAAAGAGAAAGACGAAAAGAAGCGCACGGCAACGTTACGACTGTTTTTATTTTCATCCCATTCTGAATGACGGGCGGACGGTTCGACTTCGACGATGGAGGCACTTTCTGTGGCGGATGGGAGGACGGGAAAGCCCACGGACACGGCATCTGCACGGGACCCAAGGGTCAAGGCGAGTACGCCGGGTCCTGGTCCCACGGTTTTGAGATAGTCGGGGTCTACACCTGGCCCAGCGGGAATACGTACCAGGGCTACTGGTCGCAAGGCAAACGCCACGGGCTTGGTGTTGAGACCAAGGGGAAATGGCTTTATCGTGGGGAGTGGAGTCACGGGTTCAAGGGTCGCTATGGAGTTCGGCAGAGCACCAATACACCTGCTAGATACGATGGGACGTGGAGTAATGGACTACAGGATGGCTATGGAGTCGAAACCTATGGGGATGGTGGTAAGTGTTTACAAATGTCATGTATGTTTAGGGATGCGAATCGTAAGCAATTGCATGATTACGAATCCGGTTTCTTCATTAAATGTCACAATAATGATTTTTTTGGGGGTGGGGGATTAGAAACGTTTGAAAAGAACAAATTCAGTTTTATTCTGCGAAAAGATTTATATAGGCTAACGTTACTCTATATTATAACGTATTTTATCCATTCATTCAAACATACAAAAACCCATGTCTTTGAAAACAAATTAACATAGAACAACCAGTCTAACGACGCCGTTTTAAGCCTCACGAGCCTTGAGTGCAACATAACACTGTAACAGCTGTTGCTTCGTTTAGATTCGGACAAGACGATAACTTGCGGTTCAGTGAGTGAGTCAGATTAATTCAGAATCAGATCTCCGAGTGATCCATAATCGTTTTTGATTCACTAAAAAGAACCGGCTCATAAGAATGTTTCGTTTGGGAGTCTTAAATGTCATTGATTCACTTAAAAGAATCTGATCATACGAGTCATTTGTTTGAAAATCGGACACACTGTTCGTCGTACTGTTTTTTTTTAATTTTTTTATTTATTGATTGTAATTTAGATTTAAAGTACATTAATTGTAAAATTCTGTTTACAGACAGACATTATACAGAAAACGAATTATGAAAAGAAAAATAAATACACAGAATAACGTACGTACGAATAACGTTAAAATAAGGTAAGAAATTAATAAAATAAGATTAGAAATGCATATATAATATAAAATAAATATTTATCAAGGCTTTGTTGAGAGAAAAACTAATATAGTATGTACATATTATGTATTTATAGTTTCTAAATAGATTGATTTTATATTCTCCAAACCGGATCACGAGAGTCATTCGCTCAGGAATTGTGGACACACTGATCTATCTGGCTGTTAGCTTTTGTTCACTAATAAGAACCGGCTCATGAGAATCAGACTGCACTGGTCGATGTATGTTTTGTGCTGATTTAGTAAAGATCTTCACTCTAAATACTATGATTCAATTCCATAAGAATGCAATTATAAGAAATTTGATGGAATAGAAAGATATATATATATATATATATCTTCAGGTCAGAGGTCATGTTCAATGTGTGTAAATAAAATTAAATGCTTTCAAAGTACACTAAATAAATGCTGGTGACATTAAGACAAATATACATAGATGAACAATATAGTACTTTGCACATTACATAATTTTAGCAAGATTGTATATTAAACTTGTGCCACAATCTACTCTCTGTTTTTTGAACGCATCGCAATGTGACGTCCAACATTTACCTAATGCCTTATTAGTTACCAAATGTGCTTGTTGATATTGTGTGTAGTTAGCGTCAGTGATTTAAGCTCTTATGAACTCTGTAAACGTATTAAATGATAACTGTCATGCAACTAACATTAATTGATCCTTGATATGCTAATGTGCCTAAAATGCATGCTTTCTTTTATCATTAAGATTATATTTGAGACTAAAATAACTTTGACTTTGTTTAATAACTTTAACTTTGTTTTATGTTTCATAAGGCACTTATCAAGGCCAGTGGATGGGGGGCATGAGGCATGGCTACGGTGTGCGACAGAGCGTGCCTTATGGAATGGCCACCATCATACGCTCTCCGCTTCGCACCTCTCTGGCCTCCCTAAGGAGTGTGCAAAGCAATGGCGCCATCCTGCAGGATACAGTACCCGACACACCAGTTGGAAGCCGTGGTGGTTTCGTGCTGAATTTTCACAGCGACACCGAAGTCGTCACCGGGAAGAAGAAGGGCCTGTTCCGCCGCGGGTCCCTCTTTGGCAGCCTCCGCCAGCTACGGAAATCTGACTCCAAAACGTCCATCTCTAGCAAGCGGAGCTCGGCGCGTAGTGACGCCACCATGAGCCGCATCAGCTCCAGCGACGCCAACTCCACCATTAGTTATGGAGACGGAGAAGTGCCCGATGAGTTCACGCCCATGGAGGACCACGTGGATGCCACCACCACCGAGTCCTACATGGGCGAGTGGAAGAATGACAAGCGCAATGGATTTGGAGTCAGCGAGCGATCCAATGGGCTAAAGTACGAAGGGGAATGGATGAACAACAAGAGGCATGGATATGGATGCACAATATTCCCAGATGGAACCAAAGAAGAGGGGAAGTATAAAAATAATGTGTTGGTGCGTGGAATAAGGAAGCAGCTTATTCCTCTTAAAAACCATAAAACTAAAGAGAAAGTGGACAGGGCCGTGGAGGGGGCTCGAAGGGCGGCAGCTATCGCCAGGACGAAAGTGGAAATAGCAGTTTCAAGGTAGGGCACCTCCTCTGCTGAAAATCTCCTTTCGGGGGCCAAAAAAGGAATATTATCTCATTTATTAAGCCTCATGTTTTTCAAAACTTGTATGACTTCCTTTATTCAGCAGAATGCGAAAGGATAATGATAGTGGATGGGAATCTGGGCTGTTCAGCTCCAAAATTACAAAAAATAAATAAATTCCAAGTCTTCTGAAGGAAGTCATTCGATAGTTTTGTGAAAAAAAGAAAAAAAAAAGCCCTAATCTAAATCTTCCCCAATCCCCTCCACTCCTGTGTTAAAGGAGTAGTTCACTTTTAAAAAAACTTTTACTGATAATTTACTCACCCCCATGTCATCCAAGATGTCCATGTCATTCATTCTTCAGTCGAAAAGAAATTTAAGTTTTTGATGAGAACATTCTAGGATTTTTCTCCATATAATGGACTTCAATGGGAACCAAACGGTTCAAGGTCCAAAAGACAGTTTCAGTACAAACTGTTCAAAGGGCTTTAAACGATTCCAGATGATGAATTAGGATCTTATCAAGCGAAACGATTGCTCATTTAAAAAAAAAATAATAAAGTTTAAGTTTTATAAGCTCAAATGCTCGCCTTGCTCTGTTCTGTGATGCGCGTTCGTGACTCTCCTATTCGAACTCGTTCATCAAAATGAACAAATCTTTTTTCGTGTCATTTGGTTTATTCAACGAACGAAATGAATGAGTTGACTCGGGAAAAGATTTGTTCATTTTGATGAACAAATTCGAACAGGAGAGTCATGAACGCGAATCACAGAACAGAGCAAGGCGAGCCTTTGAGCTAATAAATAAAACTTTATTTTTTTTTTAAATGAGTGATCGTTTCACTTGATAAGACCCTTATTCATCATCTGAAATCGTTTAAAGCCCTTTGAACAGTTTGCAGTTTACACTGAAACTGTCTTTTGGACCTTGAACCATTTGGTTCCCACTGAAGTGCATTATATGGAGAAAAATCCTGTAATGTTTTCATCAAAAACCTTAATTTCTTTTCGACTGAAGAAAGAATGTAAAGAAGTAAATTATCAGCAAAAGTTTTTTTAAGAGTGAACTACTCATTTAACCCTTAAATGCATGAATGTTTCGCCAGTCATTATTACACATTTGGGTCTTTAGCGACCAGGATCTATATCTAATATGGAATGGATCTCTACCTATTGCGATAATATAAACTCTCCTGATATAAGAGTAACAATTACAGGAAAATAAAATAAAAAATATTTTGTTACCTTTTGGAGATTGGAAGGGTTCAGTTTGAGCAGATGTTTTATACCATCATCACTGTCATCATCAGAGCTCATTTCCCAGTACATTCTTCTGGCTCATATTCACGATCTCAAACATATTCTCAAAACTATCATTTGCAACATCTTTAAAATCAATATTTTGATCGCTGCAGCTTCTTAAAAAAAAACTTAAAATAAAATTAGATAAATCTAAATAGAAATATATACAGCACATGTATATATATATATATATATATATATATATATAGAAACATTTATATATATTGAAACATGTATATCAATACATGTATATCTATTTGTTATGTGCTATATATAGAAATATATATAGCACATAACAAAATGACAAAAAATTTTATTATATGATAAAAATAAAATGCTATAAAAATTAAACTCCACTGTAGCTTTTATTTATCAGTTGCACTTCCACATATTCATGTTCAGAATAGTCTGACCATCTGTCAAATTTTGGTCTGTTAGTCACAAAACCTATATGGCTTTTAAAGAAATGAGTTGTATGGAGTATGGACTACTTTTATGATAGTTTAATGGTGTGTTTTTGTCATTTTGAAGCTCAACAGCACAGATCCCCATGTGCTATCATTATATGGCCAGTGCATTAGTCTCTTTTGCATTGCGTGAGACAATCTAATGTGTTTGAAACGACATCAAGGTGAGTAAATATGACAGACAAGAAGAATATATGACATGACTGTCACAACTGTAGAGACATTAAGAATTCGTAATATATCATGCGCAATCTTGACAGCTTGACTTGAAACTGTTGTGATCAAGTGCACCAACCACATCAAGGCTTCTGTGACATTCCCAAGATTGTTACTACTTGTACTGTTAAGCTGTGATGTCTGCATGGTTCAGACGTATGGCGTATGGGGCAACTATTCAGATTTCATTCATTAACCGTATGTCGTAGAGCTATTTCTAGATGTTGCTTCACAGTCACACAAACCATGTTCGGCAAAGCTCAGGTGTTTATTTAATAAACATATTGATTTAGTTTATCTTCTTTAGGAAGTCTGAATTTGAAAAGGTTGCACGAACAACCTTTTTGAGGATTGGTGTCTATTATTTGTCCATAGCTCAGATGTACAGGGAGCAGTCATGGGGTCATGCATCTCATGTACTCTATTATGATGTCTGTTCCCTTGCCAAGAGCCATACTAGCCTGACATATTTTAATAGATGTGTTGTGTAAACCACTTATTCAAGGCACGCAAATTCATAGCATCCTAAACAGGTCTTGGGGAACTCACATGCTCATGTTACTTTCATTAACCACCCGAACAGATGCTTTGTCAAACATCTTCAGTCATACGTCTTCAATAGACCAAATTCCAGTATAAGTTATGTATGAATGTATACAGACTGTATGAGCATAACCAGTGGATTAGAAAGGTTACTTGCAGCCATGTTCCATTAGTGAGTCAATGAAGGATTATCCAAGTCTGTGATTTTTACACAAACATTAGAGTATTTTAATATAGTGAAAGCTGTCCTTATGTGCTCCCACTCATAATGTCGAAGCCACCGGATGAGCAAGGCTCTTCTTGGTTAACAAATTAGTGGGCTTGCACACAACAAATAACTTCTTAATGGGTTTTATGGGGATAGTTCACCCAAAAATGATTAATAATTTAATCACCCTCAAGTTTTTACACACCTATATGACATTCTTTCTTTTGCTAAACACAAACAAATATATTTTGAAGAATGGCAGTAACCAAACAGTGATGGTCCCCATTGACTTCCATAGTATAAACACCAGGGCCCGTATTCATAAAGAATCTTAACGCAAAAAGTAGCTCCTTGTGACAAAATTCTTAGAAATGTGGGCATTTACTCTTAAAATTAAAGAAAAAATCCTAGTAAAGAAAAAAGTAATTCAGAAAGAATCTTAACCCTTAAAAGAGGTCTTAAGGTCAAAATTGTTTGGAGTACGGAGAAGGACTTTTTAGAGGCTTAAGAGTTTCTTTAGCAGAGGAGAAAACTGCAGAGAGACGGAGAGGGAGAAGAAATGTGTTGCAATAGATTGAGTTAATAAGACGCTATAGACGAGATCGGGCATGTTTGTGACTGATCTTATTAGAGACACGCTAATATCTCTGACAGCGCAATGCCATAACAGCAGAAATGAAAGTAATCACTACATTAAGACATTATTTGGCAAACGGGAAAATGCAATAAAGCAGCAGTGATTTGGGTCTGTCACAACCGTCTTTCAGCAGTGATCACACAAACAATTACAGCACTTTCAGAACCTCTTATTATGTCACAGTTCATTTAGTTTTCACTGGACATTCCCACCTTGCAGGCTCAAAAAAACTGCATTTATGAATATAGCAGGCTTCCCTGGTGCGCACAAGCAGGGTAATGAACCGTTAATAATTTGCGCTATAAGCTGCCGTGTCTACTTCTTGCTCCGTGCCGTGACACCCGGCCCAAAATTTTTCTTTAATGATAGTCTAGTGTTCATCTACTAACTGGGATAACAGTAAACACTGTTCTTCTGTCCAGTTGGGCTTTCTCATCTTTCTCGTTTTTGTTTGCTATATTAAAAACCAACATTCAAACCACCACTTAAATAGACAGCAATCAGTTTAATTGGAAAGAGTGGAACATTTTTTTTTATCATTCTAAGCCAATCAAATACCTTAGGAAATTAACAGCATGGTAAAAAAAAAAAGGATATATATATATACATTATGGATATAATGTGTGGATATAAAACTCTTTACTTAAAATTGCTATTTTTTTCCTTCTTGGACAACCAACCAATCACAGTCTTCAAAAGAGTGTGTCATACATAGCAACGGGGTCAGCCCCGCCTTTTTCCCTTTTCCTTACTCAGAGTTGGTCTCAGATCAGTCCCGAATTATATATATATACAGTATATATATATATATATATATATATATATATATATATATATATATCACCGTTTCCATAAAAATATTAAGCAGCACAAATAAATGATTTCAACATTGATAGTAATAGGACATATTAGAATGATCTCTGAAGGATCATGTGACCTTCAAAATTCACCTTTGCCATCACAGGAATAAATTTTAAAAATTCTATTTAACATATATTAAAATAGAAAACAGTTCTTTCAAATTTGAATAATATTTCACAATATTTCTGTTTTAACTGTATTTTTGATCAAATAAATGCAGCCTTGGTAAGCTGAAGAGACTTTTTTCAAAGACAAAATCTTCCCAACCGCAAACTTTTTAAACGGTAGTGTAGATAGTTTCCATATTCTCAGTTAGAATGGAAGACATTGTGGCATTTTATTGGCTTAAAGCCAATACAGAAATGATGTGATTGGTATAAAGTGACAGACCAGAATTGCACAGATTCTGACTTCCTGTGTCACTTACAAATGAACATTTGTTACATTTAAAGACCATAAATAAAAGATCATCATTAGTAAATGATTGTTGGTATGTGTATATGCACACGTCTGCCGCGTGTGTTCTGGTTGACTCATGAGTCATGACTCTGACCTCATGTTAGTGATCAGCCAATCAATAAATAAATAACATGATGTAGAATATAGGCTGCACTGCCAGAGTACAAAGGGGTCAAACAGGTTAACAGTTGGTTTGAATGGTACTTTCAAGCTATTTATTTACAGTTTCTGGGTATATTATAACATGGAATAAACCACATACTGGGCACCATTAGGCATTAGCTGCGTATCTGGCATTTGT